TGATAATTCTTTTATTTTCTTTATATTTTTAGAATATATATATATAAACTATTTAAATTTTATATATAATTTCTAAAAAAATATAAAGAAAATAAAAGAATTATCATGTTTTCCAGGTATTTCCAAAACAAGTATAAAGTTATCCAGCAAGATACTCAGAATCCAATGCCACATTCCGATTACAGCAAGTGTTGAACATGTTGAAGTGAGTGTTAAAGGAAAGTTTAATAGGATTTATTCCTAATAAATGTTTTTAGGATTACAACCATATATATTCTGCTATCCAGTTAATAATGGTGAATTCATGGAGCACAAGTTCATCACTCCCCTTCTGATACAGCTCAAAGTGCTCCTCCTGAAGAGCTGCTCCTGGTGGACAGGGACCCCCAGAAATAGCATGAAGGACAGTGTGAAGTCCCTTCTAATATGGGGATCAATCAAACAAGAGAAATACTCTGCAAGCGGCATGTTAAAAGAGATCCCCCAATAAATTGGGGAACAGTGCCCAGTGTCACGACTGTTAAGTTCTTGCATTTCTATATCGATTAGTCTCTGTTTAATCATGCCACAAGCCTGCTTCTCTGAAAGAAGGGTCAAATCATCCATGTTGAGCCCCATACGAGTAATTTTCCCTTCAACACATGTCAACCAATCTGATAGGGAGGATTCATGCAGCATATACGCGATGAGACTATTAGACCCACTTCTATAGAGAAGTCGTAGCCAAAATTTAAATGTTGAGAGCCATGCTTTGGTGACTAAACGAGAACAGCAGGTATAAACTGATTTCCTTTTGTATAGTAAAAGTGGGAGATTGCAAGTACACTGCTATTCACTGATTTTACCACCTCCTTAATGTGGGAGGCCCAATTAGCATTGTAATGGAAATGTATACCAAGGTATTTGAAACTCTTCACCTGTTCAATAGGGTTTCCCCAAACAGTCCATCTAGAGGGCTTCCAGCTCCGACCGAACACAATAATTTTGGACTTATGAAAATTAAGGGACAGCATGTTCTTATCACAGTAGACTGAGAAACGTGTTAGCATTTTTTTCAACCCAACCTTCGAAAGTGAAAGGAGAACGGTGTCATCGGCATACAACAATAGCGGGCAGTGTCTTGCTCCCAACTTGAGGAAATGCCCATTAACACTGTTCATAAAGGGTGCCAGATAATTTTTAAAAAGAGATTGAACAATATAGGGGCCAGGATACTGCCTTGCTTGACACCCACTGAAATTGCAATCTTAGGCGTTAGGTCTCCTTCTTTTGTACATCTAACCTGGCAAGTAGTTTCTGTGTATAATTTTTTTAATCAAAAAAAGCAATTGTTTGTCAATCCCCAATTTATTCATTTTCCTTCACAAGATGTCCCTGGGCACTGAATCAAAAGCTCCCTTGAGATCTAAGAAGGCTGTATATAATTTGCAACCTTTCCCTTTCCTATATTTATTTACTAGATGACTAAGGACTATGCAGTGATCTAGGGTCGACTTGCCCTGGCAGAAGCCAATTTGTTCTGGCCCCAGGATTTGCTGTTCTAATATCCAAGATTTAAGTTTATCAACCAAGTGGTTGGCGTATAACTTCCCCATGATGGATAAAAGACTGATTGGTCTATAATTGTTTGGGAGCTGAGGATCACCTTTTTTAAAAACAGGAACTAAGACTGCATTCTTCCAATCGTCAGGAATTACACCAGTCCTGTCTACAGCTGTAAAAAGAGCTGCAAGGAAGGGGGCCCACCATGGTGGACCTTAATAGCTTCAGGTGGGATAGCATCGGGCCCACGGGCCTTTCCCAATTTAAGGGCTGCAATTAGAGAATCAGTCTCAGTCTGCACGGGGGCCCAACTTGGACAATCATCCAAGCAGACATCCAAATCCTCTTCAGGAATGTATCTGGTCACCTGGAAAATCGTTGTAAAATAATTGTACCAGACGTCAGCTGTGACTAAATTGTTTGCTGACCCCTTTCTTCCCATGGACTCAGCTATCAGGGCCCAGAATTTCCTCGAATCATTGTTGGTTGTGGCCTGCAAAAGGAGTTTCCAATTTTTAATCAGGAAATCTTTCTGCTTATTTTTATAAAGTTGGTGTAGCACCTTTTTAACTTCAAAGAATTCTTAGGGGAGGTGTGCTAAATTTGCCATCCTATAATGTTGGTAAATGTCACGTGACTTCATCACCTGACACTCATTGTCAAACCACCCATACTTAGAGGCTTCCCCACTGCCCCTATGTACCTTTACTTGCACCCTCATGATCCCGGCGAGATCATTAACAAGCTCATCGTATAACGGAATCCATTCTAAAGGTGTATTCTCAGAGCTATGAATTTATCTAGATTACTGGGGCCCAGGTACCTCGCAGTCATCTCAACTACCCTTTGTGTCCAGATAACCCTAGGTAGCTTAGATGATGCACTGCCATTTTAACCCTCAAACCTCCATTCCTACAGGGTCTGACAGGGGCACCCAACATCAAAGTCAGTGGGAAATGATCACTTTCAAGGTGTTCAGAGATTGCAAAGTCCTTCAGCTCCTACCTAAGGGCTGGTGTGATTAGCATGTAGTCCACCACACTACAACCCCAGGGGGAGACAAATGTAAATTCACCGGGGTAGTCGTAGGGATGTGATCCATTTAGAATGACAAGATTGAATCTCATACAGAATTAAGCAAGATATGCACCAGTTTCATTAAAGGTTTGATCTTTAGAAATCCTCAGTTCAGAGAGACAAGGATAGCATCCTACGAGTCAAGACCCATCTTCCCTGCCAACCCTACATTATTCTGGCCTCCTCTAGCATTAAAGTCACAAGCAATCAGTAGGTTCGAGGTTGGGTGATTCTGCTGTAAACCCTCTAAATATGAGAAGAGCTTCTCCCAGTAGTCAGACATAGGACCCTTAGCTAAACATGGTGGCAGGTAGATATTAATTACAATTAAAGATTTCCCTGGGCTCTTCAGCAGGCAAGCCTGCCCAACATGACCACAATCATTCAACAGGCAGACCTCCCAATTTAGATTATTGGACCAAAGTAAAATGACAAGATTGAATCTCATACAGAATTAAGCAAGATATGCACCAGTTTCATTAAAGGTTTGATCTTTAGAAATCCTCAGTTCAGAGAGACAAGGATAGCATCCTCCGAGTCAAGACCCATCTTCCCTGCCAACCCTACATTATTCTGGCCTCCTCTAGCATTAAAGTCACAAGCAATCAGTAGGTTCGAGGTTGGGTGATTCTGCTGTAAACCCTCTAAATATGAGAAGAGCTTCTCCCAGTAGTCAGACATAGGACCCTTAGCTAA